TATTATTTCATTTCCTTTCTTTAATAATAAAATAGTCACAATGAACCACTGTGAGCATTCTGCTTGCCTTTAATCATGATGCCCCCTAAGGTCTGGCAAGTACCGTATGTGACTAAAATAATGGGGGTTGCATTCCTGTTCTGACATTGAGAGGCAATCATTACGATTTGTCCCCCCATTTCTTGTTTTAGTAATTTGGGGAATAAAATTACTCTGAGCTCAACACCTTACAACACTCCTTTCTACTCTATATATTTAAGTGCTTTCCTGATTTGGGACGTTTTCAGGAACTGAGGCTAAGACTGGTATTTGGTCCTGCTACTGAATTTATATTTCCCTTGCTTATCCTGAAATACATATAATCCTGGTTTATTCCCCAGATATTTAAAGAAATGCATTACAAAAATTCTGCAAAAAATTTAGTGTTAAAATGAATAGTATTGTGATGAGGTGTACCAACCCCACACTGGGCCAGAAGAAGTTAATGAAAGGCAGTGGGGTCAGTCAGCCCTACCTCACCACACCTGCACTTGGTATCAAGCCTGGAGAAAGGAGTGAATAGAGTTGAACCCAGCTCTGCTGGGGATAGGCCAGGAAGGAGAGAAGATCTCTGGCCCTCCCTCAGAGAGAGTAGCTGGGCAGAAATTGTGGTGCTGACTTGGACTACTGGCATTTAGAGCCCTCCTGAAGGAAGGTATGTCTGCAACAGGGAGACCAAAGCAGTTGGGGGCAAGTGGGAGGAAGTGAGTCAGTACAGGATGCTCTGAGGTGGTGGAGGGGTGTACAAAGAGCAGGAAGACTCTGGCTGAGTTGGGGCTGCTCTGTGAGGGGAGTAGAGATAATTGTCCTGCAGCAGAACCAGCTGGGTGGCAGAAAGTGCTAAAAAGCTCTGCAGTGAGCCTGTGGAAGAGGCTTAGAGAGGGAGGTGTTGATACACAGTGAGCGTGGGAAGGTGCTGTGGCAAAGGCCCAAGACAGGGCAGGGTAGGAAGTGGTCCTGGGAGGCAGCAAGGGATCTGTGTAGTCAGGCCTTGACTGCTTATTCAAGGGTTCCCTGGACCAGAATGCAGAGAAGAGGGAGGGCTTGGGTTCCCTTACCAGCCCATTGAGGATGATGGAGATGGAACCCCCTGACAAGAGATATGGACTGATGAAACCCCTGATGCCAGTGGTAAGGACTAGCGAGCCTGTGGGCAGACCAAAGGCCAAACATGTGGTTGATGGAGTACTTTCTTTTGGACTGTTGGCATACCCTAGAAGGGGTTGGAACTACAAGTCACCCAGCCAGAAGGCCAAAGTGGAAGAAGATGCAGCCTCTCACATGGCCAAAGTGGCTACCAGCAGGGGACTTAAAAAGGGGAGAGTCTGGTATGCCATGCCCAGCCAAATGGGGACACCCCAGCTAGCAAGTCACACTTATACCGGTATAAATTGTGAGGCTGTGGGTACATCTTCCACTGTTCAAGTGGGAGAAGTTCTTTAAAGGCAGTTTCAAATAGCTATGTGGTGGGCTTCTGAAGAGAGCTGTGAGCAGAGCAATGTTTCAAAATGAACAAGGGTATCTGAAACTTGCACCATTTTTTTCCCCAGAATGGGTTAATGTTGTGTCTCCAGGAAAGCACTCGCAGTCTAAAAGTTAAGACTGAACTCCTGTGTTCCTCAGATGGTGTGCATCATATCGAATGAAAGTGTCTGTGTACCCATGCATGCACTTGACATGGATCATATGTATTATTTGCTGCATCCCCTTCGGGAACCTGTTGACTAGCATTATTTTGTTTAGCAGTTGGATTAAGAATTTCAAAATAACCTGTGTGCATATCTAAAAGGGTGTCATAAGGAGGAGGGAGAAAACTTGTTCATCTTAGCCCCTAAGGATAGAACAAAAAGCAATGGGCGTAAACTGCAGCAAGGGAGGTTTAGGTTGGACATTAGGAAAAAGTTCCTAACTGTCAAAGTGCTTAAACACTGGAATAAATTGCCTAGGGAGGTTGTGGAATCTCCATCTCTGGAAATATTTAAGAGTAGGTTAGATAAATGTCTATCAGGGATGGTCTAGACAGTATTTGGACCTGCTATGAGGGCAGGGGACTGGACTCGATGACCTCTTGAGGTCCCTTCTAGTCCTAGAATCTATGAATCTATGTCAGTCTTCCCTGAAGTACTACCATTCCATACTGGTGACCTAGATAGGATTAGCTTCTCCAGATACCCATATGACTTCTTGAGTCTGAGGCCATGTCTACACAGGGAAACACAGGAAAGTGAAGATTAATTAACTAAAGGTATGACGTTAATGCATCCAAGTTAAAACATGTTATACCTGTAAGTCCCTGAGTGTCCCAGTGTGAACAAGCCCTGAGTCTCTCTCCTCTCTGCACTCCTGAGAGTGTCTCTTAAAACCCTGCTAAGTTTCTTTGTTCTCCAGTGCTTTGTCTTCACTAGGAAAAAGATGTTCTTACCTCACATTGGCTAACCTGTGGTAACTAACACAAGGGTAAAATCCTAGGGAAGACAAAACAGTTTGTAGTTTTAACATGAGCTAGCAGGTGAAGGTAAGCCCTAGACTCCCCCATAGTGAACCTGCTAACACATGTGACAATTACAAACAGCCTTGTCTTCACTAGGATTTTACCTCAAATTAGTTAACTTGAATTACAAACACACCTTA